CCAGGCTCGTGTACCCTCCCGAGCCGCCAGTACCAGCCAGGAGGGGCACGGATCCAGCAAACATGTGGTTGCATTCAGTCTCCCCAGGACACTGTCCACGTCGTCAGGAGTCACAGAGTCAAACTCCTCCCAAATAACAGTCTCAAGACCTGCTCCTGTCACCTCCCCCGGGGCCACCCAGTCGGAGTCCAAACCCTCTGTAAATCTAAATGCTATTGCTATTTCATGGAGTGTCATAAGAACTATTGCTTGAATTATTTTAATTTTAGTAGGTACAAGTAGTCCTTGCTTAGCAACCACAATTGGGACCAGGAGCTCACTCACTAAGCTGTGCAGTCACTAAGTGGAAATCATACGACCCTGAGCCAGCAGTGTGCAGCAGCAACAAAAAAGCCAATACAATCCTGGGTTGTATAAACAGAGGCATAGAATCAAGATCACGCGAAGTACTAGTACCGCTTTACAAAGCCCTAGTAAGACCACACCTGGAATACTGTAGCCAATTTTGGTCACCGTATCACCAAAAAGATGTTGAGAGTTTGGAAAAAAATCAGAGAAGAGCAACTAAGATAATCAAAGGCCTGGAGGCTAAAACATATAAAGAACAGCTGCGGGACTTGGGTTTGGATAGATATTAGTCTAAAGAAAAGAAGAAATAGGGGGGACATAATAGCAGTATTCCAGTATCTGAGAGGCTGCCACAGGCAGAAGGGGTCAGGTTGTTCACCAGAGCACCAGAGGGAAGGATGAGAAACAATGGTTGGAAACTGATCAAGGAGAGAAGCAATCTGGAATTAAGGAGAAACTCCCTGACAGTGAGGCAATCAACCCCTAGAAATCGTGGGTGCTCCATCACTGGAGGTTTTTAAGAAATGACTAGACAATCACCTGTCCAAGATGGTGTAGGTTCTCCTGCTTGAGCAGGGGGTTGGACTAGAAGACCCCCAGGGTCCCTCCCAGCTCTATTCTATTCTATTCTATTCTATTCTATTCTATTCTACGCTACGCTACTCTATTCTACATACAGTTTTATTTCTGTTTTCTTCATAACTGCTTGTTGTAAGCCGGTTGTGAAGCACATGAAGAGCTCTTATGTAATTGCAGGACAGTGCAATGGGCCCAGTGCTCTTCAACATCTTCATCAACGATCTGGACGAGGGGATAGATGGGGAACTCATCAAATTTGCAGATGACACCAAGCTGGCAGGAATAGCCAACACTCCAGAAGACAGGCTTAGGATACAGGAGGACCTGGACAGACTTGAACACTGGGCGCTATCTAACAAAATGAAATTCAATGGTGAAAAAAGTAA